TGATCAGGTCCAATGAATTTCCGGTTGTCTCCAGTGTTTAAAAGGCCATGTACTTGGTAAGCAAGTTCCAGATCTCTGAGAGAGGAGCACTGAAAATTTGCACATAGTAAGTATCCCTTTTAGAGATCTTTATTAGCCAAACAGTGGCTCGTTACATAAAAAATAAGTACAGTTACTTGCAGAAATACTTATGCTGATTCAACATATTATTGGTTGACAGCAATGAGTTACAAGAAATTGGGGAAAATCAAAACAAACCCCCAAGTTCTGCGAAATTTAAAACAAAATGATTTTGATCTAGTCATGATACCTTTAGAAGTCAATCCTACAAAAACACTTGGTGACGTGCACAGAGACAGATGGGGGTGCTCACTCCAGCATCACTGTACAAGCAAAACACCCAGGAAGTAACTCCAAAACACATCCATAGGAGAAGAGTTAAGTAAATTAGAGTCCTTTCCTCCTGTGAAATACTATACTGCTGTCAACAAACAAAATACCATGAAAATGTGTCTGGGGGTGCATGTTTGAATACCCAGAAGAAAAGCCCTAAAAGGATCCTGACTAAACTGTAAAGCAATTATCCTTAGGGAACAGGATACACTAACTCATTCTGAAGCTGCTTGAAATTTTTCCTATATTAGCATCATAAAATGAAAAACCAAAATTAAAAACAAGTTTCATCAATTTAAAAAGTTACCAAAAGGCAATATGAAATACTCTAAAACCTCATCTGAACAAAGGTATGAAGAAAAGACAATGCATACAATAAACACAGGGTAGGGATATTACATGATTTAGTACAGATTTTAGAGAAAGAAAAAAGCCAAAAACATCAACGGAAATAAGAGTTAAAAAGTGAAAGAATCAAGGACAGGCCTCCCACCAGCTCCCAGTTACAAATGAATGTAAGAAATGGATAAAAGGAAAACAAAAACAAAAGTTAAATAAGAAATAGTACTTACAGCTCTCATGGCTGACTGAAAAAACATATCTGAAAATCAAAGTTCACAAGAGCCTTGGTTACTCTGGATAAAATATATTCTCAAATCAGTAACATTAATAAAAATCCTGCAACAAAACTAGTACTGTAGAAGATAAACCTAAAGGAATGAAAACTCAAGTGGAGAGAAACTATACATCAAAGTGCTACAGACATTTTGGCTTTCTCAAAATAATCACCCAAAAGATTCTAAGCTATAGTAAATTAAACCCTGTCCTCATCACAAAGCCTCTAAAAACGAGCAGCCAGGAAATCTGACCGTCTCACACAATCAATTTCTGTACATACCGTCATCCGGGTCCTGTGGGGAAAATTTCTTTCCCGTTAATTCATTCATGATATCATAGATCACAAGGGACGATCCTTTTGAAGGGCTGTCTGCAGAACAAGAAAGCAAATGGGTTATCATGAGTCCCCTTCAGGTACCACCACCAGGCGCACAGCACCCATTACCAAGGGTCACATTTCTCCCTTCTCTGCCTCTGTGTTAAGGTAGGGCACAGGCTGACCAGGGCACATGCTAGCTAAAGGAACAACGACATTCTGCAGAGTGCAACTCTCCATCAGATCCAGGACAGTCACGGGTCTTGGTCCACGTGCTCCCGACGCAGACTTTTCCCTTCCTCTTAGTCTCTTCACAAGCTTGACTTTCACTGATATGAAAGACAGATGGACACACACAAAAAACCACACCCTTACCAAGCCTACAAACTTAGAAAAACAAACACGGTTTCTACTAGTAATCATCTTGTGTTCCTTTTAAGTATAATCAGGATGAGAAGGCCAAGAAAAAGAAAACTACAATTAATGGATACAGGCAATCCTTTACAATCACATGACCTGCGGACCAATCGGTCAGAAAATGCACATACGATACTCCCAAACATATTAATTACACTTTATCCACATTCCCTTCCCTACCTTATCCAGATGCAAGTGATAATATAGGTTTAATGACATCATAGATATAACATTTCTCAAGCATGTTTCCATTTGCTTGTAATTTTAAGTATTTTATTAGTTACATGATAATCTATTATGTAACTAATAATAGTTATTAGTTAGCAGAACTAAGTTCTATTAATAGAACCAAAGCGATATGTGACGATAACAGAAGAATGGAAGAGGCTTTGGGGTCAGAAACACAGTCAACGTCAGCAGGTTGAGTAAAATTTTAGAAGATATAATTATTGTGGAAAC